GATTCTGATTTTGTTTTGCCGTTGTAGACATGCTTTTAATTTATACATGTCTTACATCATGAAAAACAAATTTCAGCCCAGTAGTTACTTCTTTGTTTGTCGAAAATTACTTTGACTAAAATCGAATCAATCGCAATATTGTAGTTTTTTTCTTGTTCTTATCCAAGAAAATCATATTATCAAACTGCACTGCCATTTGGAACTCAAAAGAAATATGTTGTGTCAAAATAGTTTTTTCGGTGACTGTGATTATGAGTGTGGAATGCAAAGTGAAAATGTGTCTAATTTTTATTTTATTTATAAGCACCTACATAAGTCTATTAAATAATTAGTGTAAATACCAACAAATCAAGAGCATGATTAGTTGAAAATATTTTGATAACTGGAAAAAATATGAACTATATAATAGTGGCGCATTTGATATGATTTTTGAAACTGGAATTTATGTTCCGCCAACAAAAGATTTTATTTTTAGAGTCAAAATTTATGTTTTTGTTTGTATTTATTAATTAGACATGTGCTTCTATCATATAAAAATTATTATGTTTTCTTAAGTTATTTTTATCATTCAAATCAATTGAGATTTAAATTGTATTTTAACCATGCAACATTTATATTAGTAACATGAATAAAATAATTTATATATTTGTAGCATATATTAAGAAAATTAACATAAATAAAAAAAATATTGGTGTTTCTGATTTTTAGAAAAAAAAAATATATGTACCAATCATGCACAGATGTACATATAATATTATAAGTAATATTTGAGAATTTAATATTAAAATTTTAGATAATGAATATATTACATTTTCAAAAATTTGATCATTAGAAAAAAAAAATAACGATTTTATTATTATGAAAAATTGTATATTACCATTTGATACTAACTATTTAATTATTATTATTATTATTATTATTATTAAAACAATTGTTTATAAGATTCTAAAGTTGTCTGACTATGCTATTTAAATAATTTACTAATTGTTTTTAAAGAAATTTTTTCATGAGATACAAAAGAAAATGATAATATTGATGTTAAAATAAATAACTTAAAACAATTGTTCTTAATTATGTAATTTATATTTATTGTGAATTATTATTAGTTGGTATTAGCAATAACTATTATATAATATAATAGAAAAATACAAGATTATACTCATTATGATGTATTAATGTGAGAAATAAAAAATATTAATGATAATTTTTGTAACCGAAAATGGAGGAAAAATGTTAGAGGTTTTATTAAATAGGTAAAATTAAATGCTATATGCTAGCAATTATATATATATAGATTAAAGAAAAAAAAAAACAGTTACTTTTAAACAAATTATATACTACTAATTAGTTGTCTCTAAAAGTTGGCTATTTAAAATTCTCATATAATTTTGAAAATTGCCTTTTCATAATATTTTTTTTTTTCTCAATTATTTATATGAAGTAGACGTAACACAAAGACTAATGAAATGTGAATCTCAAATTTAAATTAAAGACGTTAGAAAATTTGGCCCCATCTCCACAAAAAAAATAAAATAAAATAAAATAAAAATACAGAAAATTAACATAAGAGAAACAAATCAATCTCTACCGCTACAGCTATTAGCCTAACATTTATTTTAAGCTAGTGAGTGGTTCAAATGTCTCCACTAGTCCGCACAAAGTTCCCACCTCACCACAAACAAATACTGACCGAAGCGGTAAGCAAATTGTTATCGCTTAAGCAAGGTCTCGGATTCGAGTCTTTGTAGATGCAAAAACTTTTGTTAAATGTGATCCGAATCGACCAACCGGTTAGTCGGGTTAAAGCTCCCACCCCACCTAACAGTACACTCGAATTTCCATATATTTAAAACCACAAAAAAAATTGATTCTTCAAAACAAAACCAAAATATTCTCGTCTCTCATCACATGGATTCATTCATTTTCATAATCATATTAACTACACTTGATAGACTGTTGTAGACGTCTGTGAGTGAGGTGGTCTTGTTCTTTGGAAATTTTATAATATGTACTTTTGTCACCATTGATTGTCGGTCAATTGGGCGCTGTGAAAAAGGGGCGCAGTATATGGAGAATAAATTGCTGAATCTCATACGCGCCTGAGGAGGATTTAATATTTCATTAATTGTGCTCTCGCCCTACTTTATTATTATTATTATTTTTTTTTTAAATCTGCTAGTGAAGTGAATCTTCTCTGCTCAGGGAATTATTGCCAGATTTTCTTGCTGCTATCTTTGAATCTTTTTCCCTTTTTTCAAACAAAAAAAGTTAAAAAAAAAAATAAAATTTACTGTCTGTCCGCTGGGATTGGGTTCTAGGCGGACACCGGCGGCGGCGGGATTTGTGGTCCTCGGGTTTCCGGCGAGAAAATGGCCAAACGTGGATATAAGCTGCGTATCCTCTTGGGTTGTCGGTGTCTGCTTTGCATTTTATTTTGTTTAAAATGTGTTTGTGTTTTTGTGTTTCTATTTTTTCTTTTTTTGTTTGGGTGTGTGGGAAATGCGACGGTGAATGGCGGTGAGTTTGAATGATCGGCGGCCGAATGTATTTTGGGGGTTTAATTTGAATTCGAGTGACCTAAGTTGATTCGGCAGTGGGATTGAATTAGCTGGAAAGATAGAGAGAAGTGGCCAAGAAAGATTGCATTTTTTTTTTTTTTCACTTCATTTCAGCTTATATTTGATTGAGATAAGAAAGATTCTGAATTAACAGAGTAGCCCTTTATTTATTTTTTCTTTATATTCATTTTTTTTGAAAATTGGGTAACGCGTTCTTGAATCTTGATTCGTTGCGGTTTTATCGATTTTTCAGTTAATCTTGATATTGTGCAGCTGGAAGAAAGTATGCTGCTTGGTTATAGTTTGTTCCTTTTGCTTGGAAATTTTATTTATTTGTTTCTGGTATATGTATACGTTGGTTGCCAAACTGATGATTATTCCCTAAACTTGCTTCTGAGATGCTCATTTAATTGTCCGAGATAATTCTTTTTCGGTTGTGAATTGTCCATTCTTGACTGAGTTTGACACAGAGGAATTTGTGGCACATGCCGGGAATGTGAATTGCCTGACCTTCGGCAAAAAGAATTGCCGAGTGTTTGTTACAGGCGGAGATGATCAGAAAGTGAACCTCTGGTCAGTTGGCAAGCCGGCATCTCTAATGGTTAGTTAAGAATGTTGTAACTTGGCCGTTGATTTCCTTTGTTTTGTGCTCTTCTTTCAGTATAATTGTTGTTGTCTGCTATACGAGCTATAGGGGAGATATTCGAATTGACGTCCACAGCTTCTCTCACGATGATTAATGAAGATAAATGTTGTTCTTTGTATCTATGTTTAGTTGTTAATTGCAGTAGTTGTATGTTTGAATTCGTAAGGTGCTACTGATCTATTAATGTATGAAATAGAATTTCCTCACTAAAGCTTAATGAATAAATATAAAATGCAAGGTGTTCTTTCATTGTTATTGTGTTATACAAACTCAAGAACTAATAGCTTTCTGGTACTTGCAGAGCCTGTGTGGTCATACAAGTCCAGTTGAGTCTGCAGCTTTTGATTCAGCCGAGGTTTTAGTGGTAGCTGGATCTTCTTCAGGAGCTATAAAATTGTGGGATCTGGAAGAAACAAAAAGTGAGTTTATTAGTTTAACGATTTCATGATTTATTATTGACTATTTTTTTTTTTTTTT